CACACACACACACACACACACACACACACACTTTTATCCTGTCTCGCACACAAAGACACACTTACACTGTTTTACTCTCTCTCTCACACACACACTGTATTCCATCCTGTCTGTTTTCATTTCCTCCCTCTCACCTTTCAGACCTTGTTACACAGCCTTATCCCCATCTGTCTCCTCTCTCTCCTTGTTTCCTCTCTCACAAACGGCTGGATTTCACTGCTTTGTATTCACATGATACTTTCTGTTTTATGCATTTACATGTTGAACATTTAGCTGGATCCTGAGAACACAACAGACCCAACTGCAGCATGCGATTCTGCTGCTGCACATTTCACAGACTGGAACCAAAAACCAAAGTTTTTTTTTTTTTTTTGCTGCATTAAGTTTTCAAACAGTGTCTTCTTTGTGCAGCTCACATTGAAGCACTCAATTATGAAATTTATGTATTTACACCAACTACCCACTCTGGTTACACTCCCAGCCAATGTCTACACATGGTTTACACCGGCTCCTCCAAAAGCAATATGGCAGCAAAGTGAGTTACGCAAAGTGACCTCAGGCTCGCATGAAGTCACCCGACTGTCTGCCTCGTCTGCTTTTTCGCCACTGCAATCAACAAACATTTGTTTTGTCCTCTGTTGAAAATGTAGCCAGCTGTTGAAGCATGTCACATTAATAAGTGTTTAATGTCTGAAACATAAAGAGCTGTTTGAGGTGGCAGCAGGCCGTGTGGAACCGCAAAGTAATAGTCCAAACAGCAGGGGATGGAATGGCCTCATGGGTACCAGGTACGGCTCCGTGCCTCAGGTTTGGACCAGGAAAGGAAAAACATCGTGTCTTCACCACCAACATAAACTCCACAGTCTCGTCTCTATTTTGCTGTTTGCTAATTTGGTGCTTTTCCCAAACCAGTATAGTTGTGACATAAAAATGATTTTGCTTTCGCAGAATGACACAAAGTAGTCATAGTTCAGATGTACACGTGTTGCCGCTGCTAATGATCCTCTGCATCAGATAAAGCTCCTAAAACCACAAATCCATCCATGATTGTGAAAATTCCCAACTCTAGCAGATATTAAGGATGTCCTGGTCCTAGAAATTTGGTAGTTGGGGCCAAAAGCATTAAAGTGCCACAATGTCTAATTGTAAACAAGAAAGAAAAAAATTAATCAATTAAAGGAATGTATTTTGATTTAAAAAAAAAAAAAAAATCCAACTCAGTGTTGTATTTTGAGTTACTTACAGCACTTGCATCCTCCAGCACCTTTACAGCCAACTGCATCATAAAAAAGATTTATGGCAGCGACTTGGTATCACAGTCTCATGAGATACGAAACTGATATACAAATACATTAAAACCAGTTACTTTGGGATTATTGTGGCAGTCTATTTATCTATCCATCCATCCATCCATTTTTCTATTTGAGTCACATGATTGATGTACAGTTTTGTAGACTTTTGTGAACCGAACCATTGGCAGCCCAACGCCAGCAAAACAAAAGAGCTTGCGGTGGACCTCATTAGATCCATGACTCCTACTATGTCTTCATCAGTACAAATACCTGGAAGTCCAGCAAACTGGACTGGACCTGAAACTCTCTCTACAGGAAGGGCCAGAATTGGCTCTTTTTCCTGCAGAGGCTCTGGTCCTGTATGTGGCGCCATTCTGCAGATGTTTTATGAGTCTGTGGTGACCAGGGCAATTTTTTTACGCTGTGGTCTGCCGGGGCAGAAGCCCGAGGATGGATGACATCAAAAAACTCAATAAACTTATTAGGAAGGCTGGCTCTGTCCTAAGGGTGGAGCCGGACAATCTACATGCAGCAACACAGTGGAGGATGTTGTTAAAACTCCTCTCCATCATGGACGTCTTTCACCCTCTAAATGTTATGGTCAGAGGAGCCAAAGACCAATAATGGTAAATGCCACATTGATCGTCACAGAAAGTCCTTCCTTCTTGTGACCGTCCAGTTATATAGTTACTCTTTTTGCTGCATTTTAAAGGCCCCTTCCAGTGGAAATCAAATCTATATTTTTTAACCTTGTTAACATGTCAGTATGGTGTTTTTATATGCAAAAGAGGCAGTCGGTCATCTTGAAACCGTATCGTACCATTGACCTTCTCAAAAGACGGACTCAGACTTCTAGGATTCCATACGTAACAAACCTAAAGAACCAATCCTGAGTACTTGCAGGGTGGGACTTTTGGTACCATTATACCTTTTCTGAATCAAATCTGGTTAGACCATATACAGTTGAATTAATCCAATATCACAACTTGCTATTGTGTTGTTTTGCAGTGTTGAAGCAGAGTTGTATTGAATTTCAAGCCATAGTTTTGTCTCTGTGAGGCTGTTTTTCAGCTAATTGCTAACACTAGCATGTTCATACTGACAATTTTCATATGCTGATGCAAGTAATGTTACCATGTAAACCGTCTTAGTTCAGTGTGTCAGTTTGCTAACGTTAAGAACAGCTGAGGGTGATGGAGATGTCATTGGTTTGCAAGTATTTGGTCATAAACCAAAGCCATGGAAAAATAGAACATTTAACCCGATGATGGTGTCAGAAAAAAAATTGGGGGGATTATTAAAGGTGGGATCTGTGATGATGGAGAAAGAATTTTGCTGTTTAGCCTGTTAGCATGCCAGATTTAAATATTTCTTGTTTTGTCATAAGGACATATATTACAGCAGTAGTGAAATTTGCATGAATAAGAAGAAGAAATGTGTCATACGTTCATTTGAGATTGTGCAAGATGACATTGGGTGGACCAACACCTTTCAGCACCCTTACTTTTTGATTTGGAATAATAATCAATTGCAGTTTTGTGGTGTCTTAGTAATTATTTAATAATTTCTTATGCACTTAATGTAGGAATAAGACAGATACTTGTGCATGCAGAAGCACTTTTCTGTGATTAGTGATCATCCTGGTGACAGAAATCTTTACTGCAGCCACTGACTACATAAATGTGGGTAGTTTTATCATCCAAGTCTATAACGTCCTCTTGTAATTTTACACAAAATATTAAATTACAAATAATCGTCTTTGTTGTTCATGGCTACATGTGATTGCACCGACATGAAGCATCCGAGTGAGGGAGCTCCTCATCCCGCCACCGCTAATGAGAGCGAACACTAAGCGACGGATGTTTCATGTTTTGATATGAAGTCACCTTCTCCTCCACTTCGTCCAGCTTTCGGGGATGAGGTCACCACCGAAAACATTTACCTTCCTCTTTACCATAGCAATTGTCATTTCCTTAACCTGAGTTTGGAATAATAACAGAAACTGTTTAATGGCAACGAAAACTCTGCAAGTTATTCCACTGTGTGAAAAAGCCTTTCCATGTCCATCTCTCCGTTACCGAGGACTTAAGTGTGTGTGTGTGCTGCTCTCAGTTACAAATTCACAGGGGTTTTAGCTTCAGTATTATGATCCTCTCCAGATAATCTCTCTCACACACACAATCCTGTTTGGTTCCTCTTTCTGTTTTAAATGAATCCTTAAACCCTTCAGTCACTCTGCAGGCATTTTGTGACAACCCCGTGAGTTAAAAGCTGTTTTCTGATCACAACACCCACTTTTGTTTTCATATAAATATTTTATTAGTATCGGTAACATGTCAGGAGGATCATCTTCCCCCTATTCCTTATGCGGATAACATACCAGAAATAGAAACAGACAGCAATAGAAAATGAGAGGTTATAAAAAAAATAAGAGGATATACAGTACGTGCATGTGTGTGAGTGCTTTGCTGAGGAAGAGTAAATCTTGGAGTACAAAAACCTAATCCCAGTCACTGTTTCTAGAAAGGATTCCAACCCAGTTTATAATCCGAGTGGCTGAGCGGTTTATACTCTGGAGAAGGAGCACGGCACAGACAGTTAGTCCTTGGGTATCCTAGAAGCCACCTCTGTTCTGTCAGAATTCAGAATTTTCACCATCTGATCGCTTCTCTTCTCCGTCGAGGAATCATCAGTCTGTTTGGAAATCATGTCTGTGTCTGGAAGTTTGATGCTTTGCTTTTTAGCAAAGGTTTCAAAGTACAGTCGAGGTCCACCATCAAACCTCCCAAAGATCGCGTGGCAAGATATGATCCGTCAAACCTTTCACTGTCACTCGATGGCAGGTGGTGAAGAAAGTCAAAGGCAGAAGATGTTTTCTGTTTCAGGCCGCCGTCCTTCTTTCTCTCCTCTGCTCCTTCGTCTGGCTGTCCCTCTTCACCTGATGCCTGTTGGAAAGAAGTGAATATGAGGACACATAAACTCATCTTTCATAGCCAACACAAAAAACAAACTGTATAACTGTGCTTAGTCTATCTTCTCTGCTCATCTCTGTGAAAAGCCAAACACTTAGCGAACTACTGTCAACCAGCATGAGTTGTGCTACAGAAAATTCTCAAAGTTTCAAATAAATCACATAGAAATTTTCTTTAATGGCCAACTGAGGCTGATAGAAGTCAGAAATATTTTATCCATTGGGCATTATGAGCAAAAGTGTAACAGAAATGTCTCTTGGGCTGACCTGGTGGGATTTCCTTCACACAACATCGGCTTACTTCGACATGTGACCAGCATATCAGCACTGCTACACATTAAGGTTCACGTTCAAAAGTGGCTAAATAACATTTTTTACATTCAGCTGATATCAGTGTAACTTGCAAGAAGGGTTAGCAGGAAGTCACACAGCTGCTCCAAAGAAGGACCCTTTGACTACAGGAAGGTTTAAATGCAAGACGTCTAGTAGTTCTTCACCATGTGGTTTACAGTCTAACGTAGTATTTAAAAAAATATTGTTAGATCACTGTAATCCATTTCGCAGCATTGCTTTACCATGAAACTAAACTTTTTTTTTTTCTCAACCCCCATCTCTGTAGAACAACTGGCTGTAATTTAGGAGAGACATTTGAATAATACCCTTTGAAAAAAGTGTGTTTGGTGTGTGTGTGTGTGTGTGTGTGTGTGTGCGCGTGTGTGTGTGTGTGTGAGGAAGGAGGGAGGGTGTTGCCCTGAGGGAGGACTAATTCAGGCAGAGAGGAAAAACACAGTAAATACCTCAGATCTCTTATCAGCTCTGTTGGTGTCAGTCGACACATTCAGACAGGAGAACTCCTCACATGTGAATTGAGCCGATGCATAAATGCACACACACACCTAAACACACACACACACACACACACACACACACACACACAGCTGTATGCTCACCATTGTCTGTGTCTGAGTTTGGACTGATGTGGCGTTTGTTGGTGCACATGCACTCTAAGTGATCCTCCAGCTTCACCTGCACCTCCTTCAGCTTGGGCCGCCGCCGCACGTACTCCACCTTTGCCACCTGCGGCGAGAGACAGAATCAGACAACGTCAGCTTTTTCAAAACCAAAAACACAAGAGCAACAGCGTGAGGAGCGAATTAAACGCCGTGTTTATCAGCTCTAACATAAGCTGAAAATATCAGCATGCCGGCTTAGCTACCTCCGCCAGTATTAACATTACTTCAAAGGCGGAAGGGCAAGCCATTTTGAAATACGAGTCTAATTGTCCACATTAAAAGGCCAGAGACAGATTTGAAATCAGATTTTCTTTTCTTCACTTTTACCGTAAATTAGACATTAAACAACAGCTTTATACCGATGAGTCAGTACAGACATTTTTGAGCAAACCCTAATCAAAAAATTGTGACTAACAACTGCAACTCCACCTAATCTGATGCAACAGAAATGAAGCAGAACATTGTTTCACCCATTTGAGTCACAGAGGTACCAGACAGCCTTTGCACTCTGCAACCTTCTAAAATCTTAGATGGGGTAGTTGTGGGGTAACAGGTTAACGTAAAACAAAGAAATAAACGAAAAAAGGCCCCGTCCATAACTAGCACATCTACTACATAGACTTGTCCCGCTGTGTGGAAACAGTCCTGGATGCCACATCAGAGTCTAGTCTGACATTAATGTCAGCAGCTCCGCCCTGCTCTTTCCTGGAATTAAAGACGTTCACACTCCAGAAACACCAGCCAACAACACTAGAGTTAGGGGTTCCTTTGCCAACACATCAGTTTGTTCTCATCCTAGAAACCTTTTCTTTTTTAACATTAAAGGTAGGAACAAATCCAACAACAGGCTGTATATAAAAGGTATCAAGCATCAATCAAGCAAATCTTTTCCCCCCAAACATACTTAGAAGCCTAATATCCACTTAATGATATAATTACTTTCTAAAGCATTGCCACCAGCACACTGATGAGACAGAGTGAATTCAACTAATGACATCATAGTGACATAAGAACAAAAAAGTGCTGCCTTAGTATTTCATGAGAGAAGCTGGCATTTTATGAATGGCAGTCTATTGGAGCCAGCAATTCTTTTGGAGCCCCTTGTGACACTCAGCGGTATTACACTTTAAGTTGGCTTCACTTTTCAGACCTGGTGGTTTTGTCTGTCTTTTACATACAGTCTATGTTACAAACAATCATGTAGGCAAAGCATTTAAAGGGACACGCGAGAGCAAAATACCTGTACAAGAAGAAATCTCTTTCTTTTCAATGTTCTTTTAATGGAAAAGTTACAATTTCTTGCCTTAGACATGTAGCTTTGTCCTCAGTGTGTAGCCATCTAAGATGTCTTTTACAAGGTTCTTTTTAAAAACGTGCCCACATTTAAAAGTCAGCCAGAGGAGGAGGGTTTGGCAAACACATAATGGGACTGCTCATCAGCTCACTGGTGTGACTTAAGCTATTTAAGTTTCACCACACTGATTTATGTCTCTTATCACGTTGTGCATTCACATTTTTGGACTTTGCACAATTAAGTATAAATAAATTTATTTTAAGTTGCTGCATGTTTTTATATGTATATTTAAATGTGCAACACATGAGAAGCCTGATAACAGCCCACTTGGCTGGCAGTAATTCTGGGTTTTAGCTGTCATCATTTACAAGGGGGACTGATAAGAACAGTCTCAGAATAACATGTGCTGCACAGGTTAAGGTGAAGTGCATACTTTCCTGTCATGTTGGTGTTGATTAAAGAAAACAATCCAAAGAAAAGTCATTCAGACAGCAATCAGAAGCAAGCATCTGTCTGCCTCTGTCTGAAATAAAGGACCCATTGTTGCAAAAACTCTGAACAAATTTCAATTGGCAAATTTACAGTATGATCGTCATTATTATTGTGGCCTAAACTGCATACACTGTATGAGAGCAGAAAGTCTGACAAATGTAGCTGTAGTAATTAGATTGGATCAGGTTTAGCTAAGTAGACTTAAGAAACTGGCACCTGAGTGTATATCCACTATGTTTATCACACACTGAACAGTTTGATTTAGTTGTGCATATGACAGCTGAAAGTATTTTATCTGTACTCTGGAAATTAATGATTATATTTATGTTTTTATGGATTGATTTTATCTGCCTCTTTCCTTTTAATGCAATTAACTAACAATTGTGTTGATGTTCTGTGGACTGATTTTATCGGTCTTATCCGTTTGTGTGAAGCACTGTGAAGGTATGAATTGTGCTCTACAAATAAATCTGCCTTGCCTTGAATTTCTTCAAAATGATTTAAGATACACCAGAATCAGTTTTATGTCTTTCCATCTTATCTGTTTGTACACAACATGAATCTGTTGATCCAAACTGCAAGAATTGACTAAAGGAGTATCAGATGCAGAGCAACACTCAGGTAGAATAAAACAGTAAATATGTGGAACACATGCAACAAACATAATGCTTTACTTTAACTTATTGCTCACGAACGATGTCTCTCCTGTAGTGTAAACACACAGATGTGTCTGCTCTTGCTTGGATAAATGAATAGAGCATTAACACTGACAGGAGGTTTGATTTAACTGACATTAAGTGACGCCTGTTCTGTTGTGTGCCAACACACGTCACACTTGCTGCCAACGCTGGATGTCTGAGCCTCGCTGCTGAAACGGCAATAGCTCTTTCTTGCTCCTAAACACATACTCAGAGAAGCCCAACACACTGTAAACGTACCAAATCAATGACACAAACATGCAGATGTTGCACCGTCTCCCTGACAGGGAGCCAAATCGGAGGAGCTCCAGGTTCGATTGCACAAGCATCTTCGATTCAAGTCTGAACACACTCAGACATAAAAAAAAAAAAAAAACTAAACAAAACAAAAAAACAACCACTGAAGTTCAGCTGAGGTGACCTGAAGCTCTGCTAAAGTAACTGTAACACAATGATCTGACTTTCATGACACAATGTGAAAGGATTGAGCCCTGACACTGCTTCCCAAAATGTCACTTTTATCTCCTAAAATCACCACCTGAACATGTACGAAGCTGGTCCTTGAGGCAAAGGTGAAAAGGTTCAGCGAGGTGACTCTCTGGCTATCATCATCTTGACAGCAACTCCTGACGCCTCCTCATTCTCGGCTAATTCATAAATGAGCGAAGACGTGGAGCGTGAGATGAGGTGAGGTCAGCTTCACAAACGTCTCTGAGCCATGGACTCTCCTACGATGGTGCTAACTTCAAAACAGCTCCACCCTGCATAACTTTAAGCCCTAAAACTATTTAAACAGTTGAGTTATATACAAACTCATGCCCCGAATAGAAATTAGCTATTGAGACCAAAACCACTTTTTGCACCAGGGTGTAAGCAGCATGCTTCTTCCTGCCGTAAATATGAGGGTCTTGAGGATTGATCTGCTTTTGGAGACAACCTCAAGTGTCTTTGAGCAAAATCTACCTGTAAGGGGACAGGTTTGCGAAAACAAACTCACAGGTGAGGGCTTGGAAGAGCAGATATAAATTAACTACTTAAATAAAGTCTCTTACTGGTCATTGATTTAACCCCTGAAAACTCGTCTCTGTTTATTGAAATGACATATTTACAAGTGTTTTTTATTTTTATTTTTTTTTCCCATGAAAGTAATTCCTTTTTGCCTTAAAATGGCTTAGATGTAACTCTACATGATTGGTTTCACTAGAATGTGCAAATATAAAGTCCTCAGCTCTCGCTACCTATTTCCCCCCACTCACTGCAGCTCAAGCACACCAGCACACCTTTGACTCTACTCAATTTAACTTGTCTTTGAGAAAGTCCCACCCTTTCTGACAGGGTTGTTTTCTTAGAGTGTTACACATGAACCTGTCTGAATGTGTGTTGTCACTTTGATGCAGCAGTTTCAAGATTAAAATGCTGATCAGTGGCAGTGACTGGGTTTTTGTGCATGTCTGACATACATGACATTCCCTTTGAACAGGGTAACAAGGTAAAAATACAACTTGATTTTCATCATAGAGGGTCTTCAACAGCTTCTTCTATACACTTATTTTTCTCCTTATCAATGATGCCCAGTCAAAAGTTGACAGACTAGAGCAACTCCAATCCACCGGTGTCTCATTTCAACTTATAAATGTGCACGACCCTGAGACACGTGAACTCCGAGGCAAACCAAAGGCCAATCCGTCATTCCTCCGCAGAGTACAACATCCTTGAACTCTGAGTTGCACACTCCCATCCCACCTGCTTCCCACACCAGATACGGCAGCGGTGAGGTTAAGACGCCGACGGTTATGTTGTCTTCCTTTTTCTCTGCCTTTTCTCTCATATGGACAAACCACCTGAACCTCGGCCCTGCCATTTTCCCTCCGGCTGTGTGCGAGCGCAGTTGCAGTCGTGACCGTTTACCCTCTGAACGCTGAATCTCAGCACATGTGAGTGACTTTATTTTTGATTTCCTCTGTAAGCAGACAAAGGACGAGTCCTTTCATCTGAGATTGGGTTTCAGCAGGGCCAAAGCACAGAGAATCAAACTCTCCCCCTCTTCCTCTTTTTCAACTTTTTCCTTTTTGACCTCTGCAAACACCAATACCTAATCACATTCCTCCTTTCCCACCCATCCACTTTCAACGCCTGCCTTTTTAATCTTGTGTTTTGCGTTGATTGAGTAATGTGATCGTCCATCAACCTGCACAACACATTGTTCATATTTCATGGTCAGATTTACGCAATGAATATCAACAACAATGATGTAATGTTTTTCTATTATTTTAAATGTGCATTTTAGATCCATTTCCTGAGTGCAGAACACACACACACACACACACACACACACACACACACACACACACACACACAAGCCTTGGGTCAGCTCCCAGTTGGCAGCTTGCGACTGTGAACCAGTTGGGGTTTACTGAGTCTTATTTCCAGCTCTGGAAGAGATCAAAAGGAAGCTATTATGTTCTTGAACTAACTCGTTGCCAGACTCTCAATCAGCAACACACACACTCACAAACGCGCACAATGGTTGAGCCTGGGAGAGTAATTGTTTTTGGCAGGTGTAGAGTGTATACCGCCAGTAAGTGGCAGCGTGTTTACATGCTCTGTGCCATCATTAGTTTTATGTGTGTGTCCGGGGTCGGTGCCACTGAAAGACGAACAACAGAAGCCTTCTACGAAATATTTGTGGAGTAATTACCAGTCTTTACGATGAATGTGCAGACAATGTTTTGCCTCTTCTGTCTTTTTTTGTTTCATTTCGTTAACACTTTTATGCTATGAGTGTAATGCAAAGCTCCTGCTTGTATCCTTTTTTTTTTACAAGAATATCTATATTCAGATTTATGCTGCACTAGAGTTTATACTGCATGTTGTTGAACTCATCGATATTACTGGTTTGTCTGAAGTGTCTGTGATAAAATATAAGACCGCTATAAACAAAAGGCTGGCCACATATATTATTAGGTAAACTGCTTAGTCCTGCTGAGAACAGAGTTTGGAAAGTTATCAACAAAAATCCAATAAATTCTCTGATGATTTTGCATCCACTTTTCAGACTGCTCCTGACTTCAGCTACCCAGGTTCCCGTCGACTGTCAAGTCTTTAAGGTGCCAGGTTTGAATATCATGAAGGTAACAAATAAAATTAAAAAAAAACACTCGTCAGAATTTAACCTGAACTTCACAACAAATTTCGCAAAATTTGCTAAAAAGCAGTTGAGGACAAACCTCACTGAATGCTTGAATAATGTGTGTACATTATTACAGCAAAATACAAATAATACGATGGCTACTAGTGATCAAGAGCTGGATCTGAATCTGATATTTTACAGCTCCTTGTTAGTGTAAGTTTGTGTAGCTCTTCATCTACACAGACTAATGGATTACTGAATTACACCAACACCGAGGCTATCATCCAAATCCCAATCACTTTGAGTGTTCCTGGGCTCAGGATGTTCATGAGGGCTCCGATGCTGACTTTTCAATGCTCTTATGCATCCTTTTCTGTGAGTCCACATGTCTGCAGTCTTTCCTAAAGGACTCTCTCATACTTTATGGTGTAATTGTTGATGCACAAACGTGGTTGTCCTGCACCCCACAAAATGTACACGATCCAATGGTGGATGGTGAAGGGAAGAAATGCACCAAAGTAAGGAAGTAGAGGGACGGAAAAATTAAAAAACAAAGAGAAGCACAAACAATGGCTGCACTGGACTAGTTCAGTCTATTAAAAAAGTTCTTTGTCCATTATGACTTCAGGTTTTTTTTTCTGTACCAAGGACAAAACAAAAGGACCAACAACTACACAAACATGAACAGGAGTTGATTGTAGATACAGTCAAGCTATTTCACATATTTTTTAGTCTTCATATAAGAAGCAGCAGACAGCTACGACATGTACAACTGCATCTGCAAAGCGATACAGTATGACGTAGGATCAACATGGTACCAACCCAGTGGCAGGTTTCACCCTTTTAAAGGAGTGCCTTTTTATCTATGTTAGTCAAACATCAACAGATCCTAACACCTCTCTAAAGTCAGAGTTAGCAGTAGCTGTCTGCATGGACCCTAATATTTCAATAATAACCAGAATAGGAGCACAATTACAATTCAAAACGCTTTGTGCAACCACCTCAGAACAGATTTTTCTTTTTTTATGCTAGCCTCATGCTACACTCCTGATTGGTAAACTCAATGAGAACACGTCTCTCCCACCAGTTTTACTCTGGACTTTCCTCCACTGGTCTTTGGCAGTAGAAGGGCACCAAGTATACAATTTGTGTTCCATTATCTATACACCGCTTAATCCTCATTAGGGTCACAGGGAGCTGGAGTCTATCCCAGCTGACTCAGGGTGAAGGCAGGGGACACCCTGGACAGGTCACCAGTCTATCACAGGGCCACACTTAGAGACAGACAACCAAGCACACTCACATTCACACCTACAGACAATTTAGAATCACCAATTAACCTCGACATGTTTTTGGACTTTGGTGGGATCGTCTAGCTGTGAGGCGACAATGCTAACCACCGAGCCACCTTGCAGGCCAGCATTTGTTATGAGCTGTAAAAAATTTTTTTTGCACTATTTCCCTGCTTAAAGCCTGCAGGAAAACCTTGTGCTGCTGAGCTGTTATATTGCAAAGAACAGTAGAAATTCCAAAAATTTCCCAGGACACAATCAAGTGCATGTTGGTCATTTTCTTCAATGGAATGATGAAATTTTCTTTAACAGAAACCAGCTGTCTTCTTCTAGATGACTCAAAGCTTCACAGTGGCCAGAACCACTTGGCACACGTCAAAAAAAAAGTCATATTCTGATGAAACGCTTCAGGGCACGTCAACATAAATCTTGTGATTCTAATTATATTGGAGTCTCTTATCTGAATGATTTCAGTCAGATTGAAGACATATCGTCCATGTAACCGCAGTTAGTGTCTGACTTCCGTGCGCTTCTTTTTGAAGTGTCTGAATTATGACTCAGGATGTGTTTGAGATGTTCAAAGCGTATCATCGTTTCATATCAGAAGGTGCGCTTGTATTAATTTTCAGACCTATTTCACACAGTTCTGTTCTTGTGCTCCACAAATCTTTCCTGACAGGTTTCTGTTGGAGGGAACGATTATCAAAGGAAACGCGTCTTCAGGTTCAGGTTACACATATGGTCACAGTCGGGTCCAGTTACATTTTCAGCATCCGTGGTGGTCCGAGCACTGTTGGTCTCTGCTGCTGGGCCACGAAGATGTGATGTAACGATCTACCCCAAAGCCCTCCCACCTGCCCCACCACCTCCTCACAGGAAAGACAGGTCAGCCTCCTCTCATAATTCAACAGTCCTCCTCCTCATGACCTCATATATTCACGAAGCATTTCCGTGCCACAAAAAACACAGATGACAGTAAACAGGCACACCCTCCACCTTTCTGCTGATATATTATTCGCATTATTTTTGACAAACACCTGCTGAAGGGGGAAAATTCCTCAACTTAACTTAAATCTGCGCTTAAAAATGTGGAAAACTGAAGCCTTCAGCGCACATGAAGTGACAATGGGCTTTTTCTGTGAAATCAGGGACATGTATCCAACACATTTTTGTGTATTCATAGATTATTGTCTGGACACCATGAGCATAATTGACATTTTCACAGATAACGTGCAGTAAAGACAGGGTTTTTGCCTCCTACCTTGACAGTGCGGTGATGCTTGCGGGCCGCCTGGCACCTCATGTTGCTGGTGTTGCAGCAGCCGGTGCAACGTTTCACCTCGACGCACGGAGGCCAGATGATGAAGTTGGCCGAAGTGGAATCCACCTGGCTCCTGGGGATTTCATAAATCGTTGTCCGCACTTTGCACACAGCTGGCAAGGCCTCTTCCACCACTGTATGTGAAAAAAAGAGGGTCAAGGGTTTGTCATCAGATCTCCAGTAACAGGAACGAGAACTTTTAGCACCCGACGAAAAAAAAGCAAAATAAAATAAAAGGAAAACAATTCTGTACATGGAGCCAGTGCGTGTGAGTATCTCAGGGACAAGTTGATTGAGTGTGTTTGCGTCTCACCGGTGCTCCTCCTGTGTCTGGTGTGTGTGTGAGCTCGTTTCAGGTCAGGGAAGCTGTGAGAGAAGTCCTTGTGGTAGCTGTGTTTGGTCTCCTCGATCACCTCGTTCTCTGGACAAAGACAAAATAAGACGTCACACACGCTCAGCGTTAAAGATACAGACCCTGGAGTCAAACACACCAGTTGCATTGTAGATAAGACACATGTACAAAGTTCATTTTCTGGAAAGCATCAATGTTTTTTTAGAGTTTAGCAACATTTTTCTTCCGTATAGTGTCAAAATTTTATCTCACAAAAGATTCAGGAAACCATACATAGTATTTTCATTCATGTTTACCACTTTTGGTAAAAGCAAAATATAAAAGTATTAGACATCATCATCTGGGGACCATGACTCTGGTTCTCAGGATAACCTCATGACTGACCGACTGACCAATAACACACAAAAAAATCAAAATGTTAAGATGTTTACTTGCTACAGCGAGCTGTTTCTTTCAGACATCTTTCCCAAGTTAGTCTCCTGATCAGAGTAGGAGTTTAACCGAGTTATTCTAACTGAGTTATGATGTTTATATTAGTCAACGGGTTACTGAGTTCTCAGCATGTTGATGTGCCCTGAGAGAAACACAGTGTGTCAGTGCGTATATCAGATACGATTTAAATTGAATTCAAATAAAGACACGGATACACACACTACATCAGGAGATTGCTCTGAGGTCACTCGTGGGTCATCAGCTGAGAAAATGTTGTTTTGTTAAAGTTGTAACTTAAAACGCAAGACACTGGGTGTCTAAGTGACATCAGATCACCAGCTGACCTAAACATCCTCATGAGTGATAATATGAAGAATTATTTTGAGCTGCTGCGTGACTTTGATGGATGTTTTTACTTGTGTTTTTGGGTGGTTGTCAACTTACTTTTTGAAAAACTTGATTGTAATTTATATATATAAAAGTATCAACACAGCAGTGTAAAAACACTCCATTACAAGTCAGAGTCCTGCTAAAAAATCCTGCTTAAAGGAAAGTACACAAGTTTTTGAAGCAAAAATGTAGTTAAAGTTTTAAGGGGAATGTGCCAGTTTGATCCCTCCGACTGATATATTACTATACATGAGCTCATTAGAGGATTAATGTTGGTGCATCACTGTGTCAGCAGCATGTTCCTGTTGTAGCTGCTGCAGGTAGAGTTAGTTTAAAACACTGTATATAGACAGAGACTGTAGATAAATCTGGGGACTCAATACATGATTATTGGGAGAAGACAGAAGACAAAACAGTTCTGATGCACAAATCTATTGTTGGTTTTCTTTTAATCTAATTTTTGATCAGATATTGGATCATATGAACATTTTTTGAATTTTACCATTTGAGAAATTTAGAGGGAAAAAAAATCACGATTTGGTGAAACTTTTACCAACTCAAAGACATTTGAAATGTGAGCCGACTACTGAGTGCTTTTTGCAAGGAGCCAAAGAGGAAACAACCCACTGGAGCCTGTTGTATTATCCATTGTGTAAAATGTTGCTGTCAGATAAATGTAGAGGAGTAGAAAGTATGATATGTGCCTCTGAATGTAGTGAATTTAAAGTATAACGTAGCATGAAATGGAAATACTCCAGTAAACTACCTCAAGATTGTAAGAACAGTATTTGACTGAAAGTACTTCGTTAGATCCACTACTGTCTGAGATATGTAGACAGATGTTGCTCTGTGGTCAGTGGAGTTGGTCATTGGACCTGAAACAGTTTCAGGATGTGAGGCTGCTACAGTAAGACTCACTGAAACTTATGTGGAGACGGGCGAACAGAAGAATGCTTCCCAGGAATACAATTCTAAACTAAATAACTGCATTCTTGAGATTTTTGACAGTTTTTATACATTGCCACAACCTCTATTCTCACCCCAACGATCGAGGAAGATGACTGTCCTTCATGAGCCCGGTTCTGTCTGTGTTTCTTCCTGTTAAAGACGAGTTTGTATTTTCCCCCCACTGTCACCAAAGCACTTGCTCAAAGGGAATCTTTGGATTTGTTGCATTTCTGTCGACAGTATATTATAGTGAGATCTTCATCTTACTACATAAAGTGTCTTGAGATGACTTATTTTGTGAATTGGTGCTGCATAAATAAAATCCTGGTGAGTTCTGTTTCAAGAAAATGAGCCAGTTAGACCATCAGGCTTCAGAATGTGTTCAAACTATTTGAGGAACTTGCAATTAAAACAGAAAAATAGTAGTTTACAAAAACAGTATGGACACAGGTAGCTGTTCTGCAGATTTTGATGGGTTCTCAACTTTCCTTTAGCCAACATTTGCCATCTCAGCTTTTAAGCAAACATGCATAATAAATCCTTAAAGTGCTCAGAGAAATGGAAATTTGAACATTTCAGTCACAACTGGGAAGCTCTGCTGCTGAATGACCCACGTGGCCCGAAAGTGTTTTTGTCAGATTCAGTCTGATGTGGTTTCGAGGCAGTGAGCACGGGAGGCTTTTACCCTTTATTCTGTTTGGTTTGGATGCTTCTAGTTTTTCTCAGTTAGTTAAAATGAACCTGTTTTAGGTTCATTTTCATGCGTTCCCTCCTCAGTGTGTCGTTCCCTGAGGCATGCTGCGACAATGCTCCATCTGAGTCTCATCAAAACTGATGTTTATCTTTAGTTAGTACCGATGATTTACAGCATATAGATGCATATCAGCCCAGGAGGGGTAACTGTACCCTCGAGGGCGGGTTTTTACACTGAGCGTGTCTGTGTGTGTGTGTGTGTGTGTCTGTGTGTGTTTCAGGGGATCCTGTGTTCCCAGTATTCGCAGATTCATCAAACCACTCAGCACTTCCAAACCACAGGATATCCACAGACATGTTCAAAGCCAATAAATTCTGAGCAAAGATTTAGTGTGTAGTGTGGACTTCTGCTTGTGTCTGTGTGTGTAACTGGGTGGAAAAGAAAGCCGGATTCCAGGAAATCAGCATAAATGATGTCTGGGCAGGACTATTTTAATTTGATGCTGAATACCAAGCCTCACACTTCTTTTTGTGACTGTGTGTGTGTGTGTGTGTGTGTGTGTGTGTGTGCACCCGTCACTCTTGCTGCTGCCGTGTGTGCGTGCATGCGTGCGAGCAGTCACACACACACACACACGCCTGCCTATATACACAATGTGCTTCTGAAACACAACAAAGTCCACCTCCGACATTTCCCCCTCTCTCTCTCTCTCTCTCTCTTTTTCAGCCTGTGTGTTTCTCTCTCTCGCCCTGACATGCAGGAATTTGAGCATGAATTATACATAGCAACACAGCAGCCTTCCAGCGAGCCCTCCTCTCACACCAATAATGGGCAGCATGACAACAGTATAATGAAGTGAGCCACTTGACCCCCACCGAGCCGGGGAGCCGTCACACTCGACATTTGCATCTCAATGATGCCAGGATTAATGGTGGCACCGCTCTGCGCGGCAGACATTAAAAAATGAATCAACTATGTTTCACGGGCAGCAAGAAGCTCGGAGCTGCGAAAACTTTGTGTGGCTGGAATTTAGAGTCTGACTCGAGGCTTAGATGCAATAAAGTCTGTTTTATGCCACAGTTATTTCCTCCTGTCTCACCTCACTGATTCAATCTGCTCTGATTTATTACTTGGATAATGAGAACTGGCATTCAGTGTTTATTAAAGGTGAATGCTGGAGTCTTTTAGGCTTGTAGACAGTGTTTTTTTAATTTACCACCAAACAAAAAGACCCTTTTTAATGATTACAGTTGTAGTCTCCACTTCTAGCAAACAAAAATTTCCACAAAAATGCAAACAGAGATATCACAATGAAGATTTTCTCTTTAGAGTGTCAGATGCTGACAAGAAGCAGAAGAAACCTGTGCTGTACTGTGCACAGCGAGGTGGGAACTTTTTACCAAATCAAAATTACAGTTGTTTCACAGCTTTAAGGGATCTGGTGACTGTGATTAGTTGCATCAGGCTGAAGAAAATAAGCAGAACTCTCCAATTATTCTGACTCTTTGAAGACAGCAGCATGACGTTTGGCAACCAAAGGACAACCAGCAGCAACTGAAGGTGTAGTATTGCTCTTCCATGACAGGGGAAGCAGCAGAGGTTAGGATAATCTGACTTTTAGTCACTAGTGTGGGTGAACCTCTAAAAAAGTGCAGTTACTGTAATGGCATTCTTGCTCACATTTTTAAAACTCCACATTTTCTGCAGTTTTCAATGCTGGTGCCACTAATCTATTTTAATGATGAGATACCCCACACTGACTTCAGTTCGACATAACCATGGGCTACTTATAAACTTTACGAAGCTCTTTCATCACCATGCAAGACATTTTACTGTTTTGGCAGGTTCAGTAGGACTAATCATCATCTGTAGACTGATATTAAAAAGCCAAATCACTGGAAGAAATATTTACTTTACAAATCTGCATCTCATTCCTAGCTCGTGATTGGCAGCGGCTGATAAGCACAAATTTAAGGGTTCAAGGAGGGTGTAAAGAGCAAGAAGGGCCACTGGTCTCCTAGCAACATCCAGCGAGGCATTCCAGTAATGAGATGAGAAGGCACAGCATCCTCTTACTGTGCACTGAACCAGATGCAGCTAATACCTCAATTCAGAGTCTTTCAAGGGACAGACAGGGAGGGAAGCGGCACATGTAAGCCTCCAGTGGACAGATGTTTTGTCAGGCTGAAACTCTCAGTCGAGTCAAGACTTGCTCTGGATATTTTAAAGCCACAGGTTGTTGGGTTATTGTTTCTATCAATGAAATTATATAATAAGAATGACACAACCACTGCTTCTCGTTGCAGAAGCTCACACATATTTCATCCACATAATAAACACCCCTCTCAGGAACTCAGCATTGCAGGAATTAGAAATCAGTGGTTTAGCCTAGTTTTCCAGACTTCTGAAACATTTCAGACGCTTTTCTGCCTGGAAACTGTCATTCATGTCTTCTTTGGCACTCCCTGGACAGCTTTAATTCTCTGCTCTCTGCATAGCATCAGCAAAAAAAAGACACTTTCCTGCTTTCACCTCCTTCAAAACACATCCAAAACTCTTCAGATTGATAACAAAACTCTAGTGCTTACTTTTAAAGCCCACACAGCTCTTGCCCCAGGCTATATTTCTGACCTTTTGTTGCCTTACGTCCCCTCCCGCTCCCTGAGATCCTCAGATGCCTCTCTGCTCATTGTTCCAAGGTCTAGACACAGAGGTGATAGAGCCTTCACAGTTGCTGCTCCTACACTTTAGAACGACTTGCCCTGAGGAGGTCTGGCCTGCATACTCAACTTCAACTTTTACACTCTCAAAGTAACACCTCTAATCATGTTTATTAAAGTTGCACCAAACAAGGGGCAACTACAGAGTAATCGGTCCCATCTGTGTGTCTGTCTCTGTGTTGATTTTTGTTTTAAATCTTTTGCGTTCTTATTTGTTCCCGTGTTTACTTCAATGCATTTTGTCACTAAATACAGTTGCATCATTATCTAATATTATTAATGACCCTGAAAATCAGCTGTGCAGGTCCTATGCATTATGGTGTTTCTCCTACCACAAACATCACATGAACATATTGGATAATCTTGTTGCAGAGGGAGAGTGGTATTATAATAAAGCGATTTACCTACGGAGTCTATCTCTAGCAGCCGCTGGAGGTCGCTGATGCTGCGGATCTCGCTGCGGGACAGCCGCTCCAGCAGCTCCCGGGGGAGAGGAGACTCCTGTGACAAGAAAGTCAGTCGTTCTTATTGGAGGGTGGAAATACAAGCTGGTGAAGAATCACAATCATGCAAACATCACCTGTGTGCAAGCAGTTTAAGCTCACTCAGAGGCGACTTTCTCAAACAGGACACATGGATAGCTGTGCGTAAAGTTAATACTAGTGCGTAATTACGCACCACAGTGACCGTCAGTTTTATTTCTCTGTGATTTTTATTGTATTACTTTTCTCCAAACTAAATGCATCTGACTGTGCGCATCAGAAAAGATCCACCACAGCGTATTTCAGTGCAGCTCACCTCAGCAGCGGCGCGTAAAAGGCAGAGGTAGCCGGCGAGGAGGTGGTAAACGGCGACTCTCATCTCCTCTCAGATCCACTGCATTGGCACCAGGATGGAGTCCACTGGAGGAGCCGGGCTGTCGCTCCCTGATCTCGGGAGCCTAGAACCATCCCTCGGGAGGACAGACCACCTCCACGACTTCAGTGAAAGAGCGAATAAAACTTCAAACGATCTTTAAAATCCTGAATGAAATTTAAAGTAGAGGACCGAAGTTGATCTTCTCCTGCACCCAGACTAAGTCACACTTGAAAAAATAAAAAGTAAAAATCTCAGAGTTGCACAGTCATTTGTCCACTTGTGAGAAGAACAGAGCACTTTAAATAATAAAACCTAACTGAGGTCAAGTTGACGTCCAGCTGCTCTTCGTTTTGGTACCAAAAGTACAGGTGCCGATGAAAGTGTGGAAAGTTGTTTTGCATTCACACATCCAGTAATATCCATCATTTTGTCCTCAATATGATCCGTTCAAAGTCAAACATTTGTGCGGCCTGCAGCGTCTTGGCACTGTGTGTGGGCAAATCATTACCATTTGTTATAGCCTAAACTTCAAATTCGATCTCCCAAATCGATCAGTTCTGTCCAGAAAACGAGGCGGAAAATTATATAACCGACCGAAACAAGGCAAAAATAAAAAATAAAATTAAAAAAAATCCCCGCTCTGCAGCCCGGAGGAGTTTGATGTCAGTTCCCAGCGGTCCTGTGATCTCCGGGGTGAATGAAGTCGGGATGCTTTCAGTCACAGGATATAGCTGTGCGCGTCCCCGTGGCGCTAAACTGTGAGCGCGCTTTGCATAATAGACTACAGATCATTACAGCAGCGCTAACTCAGGCATTAAACTACAACCAAGCATGTCTGTATCAAAACGGCTCAGTTTGATCACAGCTGTATTACAACTTCACACAACTTTTCTTGAATATTTTGCTTACAAAAAAGAGGAGAAACTATTGATTCTGTTTCTGTTACAACTAACTGATGTACACAATATGTAGAAATTCAGAATTGTTTTGATGTTTTCTGATCTTTAAGTATATATGCATTCAAACGTCCATTTTCTACTAAAGACTGATAATGATTATAAACTGCAGCAGTCAAGTTCATCACTAGGAACTGAGCCACCCACTGATAATTAACTGTCTGTGGGGAGGTTAATTCACAACCCTCCAAAAAGAACATCTGTGAATGAGTTTCTTTTACAGTCAATGACTCCTTTTCTTCCTAAAATCATCCTCTGCGCCTAACTCTCTCTCTCTCTCTGTGTGTGTGTGTGTGTGTGTGTGTGTGTGAGAAGGAGAGCAGGAGTGTGACAGATCAGTGACTGTGTCCAGTGTTTAATTGCTGTGTAATAAAGCTCATTAATGAGTATCCAGACTGGAGACAAACTGACTCTTCTACTGTTTGTTCTTTGTCAGACCCTCAAATATGTGCTGCTTTGGTGGCTTTGAACACACAATCAAGAAACAATATGGTCTCAGTACTCAACACTACAGTATTAGAAAACCTGCAATCTGGAATGTTTGTGCAAACATTTGAAACAACCCATGTAGATATCTAGCTGATATGGATCTATATTGTGGAGCTCATGCAAGTGATTGTTGTCTCTGAAGCAAAGGTGGAAGAAGTGTGACTCCCGATTAACCCCTCTGCCTCTTTATTTTACTGCATGCTACAAACCGCAGGATGCCCTGTTACTTTTAGAAAGGGGGAGTAGTCATCTATCTCTCCAAACAGAGTATGGAGGGCCATTTGGAGGGCTGGATGACTGTGCAGAACACAGGCAGAACATCCTGCCGTGTGCTGCAGCAAAGGGGAAGTGGGTTTTGAGCCTGTCAGACCGCGTCAAAACCTCTTGCAGAAAAGTTGTGAGGCGGATTTTTGTAACATAAGATCTGGATCTTTAAGGTTCTTGAGTTACTCTGAAGGTGGACTAGTTGGCATTTCCAGTAACTTTGACTGAAAAAAATAAATGAAAAAACAGTACGTTTCCAGAACAGCGCAAATTCAAGCATCCATCCATTATCTACCCTACCTGATCACAATTGCAGGTAGTCAGATTACACCTCAAAAAGGTTGCCAGCTGGCACCGGAAGTTTGTCTTCTTAGGAGCTGTGGCATCCTTTGAATGGTTAAGGTTGGTAATAATTTAGCTGTGATTTGCAGAGCATAAACCTGCAATACCAGCAGTGTTGCTCTTGAATGTGTGTTACACTGAGAGTCTGTGACACAAGGATCAGTTTGCATCAACCGTTTCTTTAGGTCAGTGACGTAAATTGTTGAGGGAATGTAAAAGACTTTTGTCTTTTTCCAGGTCTAAAGCTTCATAAAGCAGCGCTGGAATCTGGAAATCCAGCTTCAAGCCTTCAAACATGCACGTACACATGTAGAGTGTTTCTCAGTGTCGTGCACATGCACACAAATGACCAATTAACCACCATTCTTTACCTTCAAACTCACTCACAAGACATTAGAAGTTAGATCGTTTGATTCAGTCTCAAAGGTTCCTGTGAGGACAAAGGAAAAACAGGAGAAAGGAGGGGACGAGAAAAGATGAAAACCTCTGAGAGAGTGAGGGCAAAAGATAAGCTTGTTGATATCAAGATAAAGCCCATTTGGATGAAAGAAGACGACAGCAGGGTGAGTGAGCCTCGGTGTGTGTGTGTGTGTGTGTGTGTGTGTGTGCAAATCCAGCCAGTGTTGGACCAAACAGTCGCCCAATTAAAGCCCATTTAGCCTGACAGAGGCTAATACCATCACAACAAAAATCCACCTCTGTCTCACTGCTTCCATCTCCACTGAAAAGCTTCTGTGTATCACACACACACATACACACACACACACACACACACACATACACACACACACACACACACAGCGAGACAAAGAACCGGAATGATGGAGGGGAAATGGGTCAGAACCGATTCGAATCTTGAATGGCGTCACTGGTGCCGTGACGCTGTCACTTCCTCTTGGCAGCAGCTTCTTCTCTGAACTCCCTGATGCATCCCACTTGTTCTGTCTTCTTCTTTCTTCATCTTTCTTCTTTTTTTTTTCCTTCCAGTCTTGTTGTCTGTCTTTGGGCCAGTGAGGCTCCCTGCTGTCAAAGCTCAAGTGTGAGTGTTGCAGGCAGAGAGGAGAAACGTCAACTCTGGAAATGTGCTGGCAACATTTCATTGGAGAATCATGGTTTTGCTTCAAAGGCCTGCACAGCAGTAACAGGCGCAGCCAAATCAATCTGCATGTTTTTGTGAGATATCTGAGACTCCATCAGTCAGGCTTGTTCTCATCAGTCACAAATTAGCTCTTAGAGTTTCTGTCTGTTTTCTCTTTACTGTGCCGTTTACTCCCCCTTGGCATGTTGCTCGTATTGTACATCATCTAATCCAATAAAGAACTCCTGAAGGGGGTGAGCTCTCAGAACTAACTAGTTTTTTAATGAAGCTCGATAGCTTGGTTAGGACAATGTACCACAGACTGCTGCCACATAAACGTCTACAAAACATTCCTTTCTTGTGGAGCACTCAACTATACACTTGAACAGAGGAGGAGGGTTAAATAAACTGGATGGTGCACACGGCTGATAAATTACAATGGCCTCCTCTATTTTGGACTATCCTAATCTCTGGGTTTGCAAAAGCACTGTCCCAGAAATCAAAGTTAGCACAGTCGGACTCACTGCATGTATACTGTGGATAAAACTTTGCCATCTCCACCACAGCTTTTCCCTCCCTTTACGCTGTCTTTGTGTAACCATTTTTAAAATCCACTTTAATTTGCAAAGCTGGAGAGGAGAACTTTATGTGGAATTACATCTGCCTCTCAATTAAATCCACTGATTGTAGCCATTCTATTTAAAAGAAATGATTGTGTTGCAAAATGTCACTGTTTTAAATGCAAATGTAACCAGGTAATAATATGTTTTCTTCACTTTGTGCCTCGTTAAGATGCTGTAATCTCGTCGTATTGTGTTGTGTGATGTTGAAAGCCACCATGTACGGCCTGACCTAAGTTTTTGGCTGTGCCACTCCCTCAATTACTCACTTACTAACAGACACGGTGGCTCAGTGTATATTAAGCAGTAGTTTGAAATTTTGAGTCACTGAGTCCATTGTTCATTTTGCATTTCTTAAATGCAACACATGGCCTTCAAAATTATTTGCAGAAGGCGATGCAAATGTCATGGCCATCCTGTTTGTTCCATTTTGGGAGTTTCTGAGGGCAGCATATTTTCACACGCAATCAAATACAGTATAATGGCATAAGTGTAGTGCAGTACAATAAACAGCAAGGCACAGCATTTGTTTGAGGAAAAAAATGAACAATTCCCGGTTAAATTTATTGCATTTTCTTGGTTGCTGTGCACTGCTCTTGGAAATAGTCTCCATTTTGAATGTACCAAAGCTGTAGCCTCTCCATATAGTGGCTTTAAGGTTTGTATATGTTAGATCCGGTTTATATATTTTATCTGCTCATAATGATCATCAAAGCCAGTTAGAAATGACTTGTAATTTGTACTTTATGTAAAGATTTTCCAAAAGGACATACGCTTGAAATAACTTTCTGTCTCCGTCTCCCTGTTGTTCTTTTTCTCCTCCACAACTTTCCAAGGGGAGTAGATATCAAGTTTATTTATAACCACCCAGGGAAAAGCTTATTGTATCCATTTTTTCTTTTTCATTTTTTCCAGTTCTTTTCCTGGAAGCAGACTGACACCATATTGGGGTTTGGTGACCGTGCTCAAGAGCACTTTTTATTCTTTTTTTTTGTACAATCAACCGTCCGACTCAAACTGCTGCCCTGTAGGAGACAGGAATGACACCAGTGGGAAAAGAGTAAGATGAAAAACATAACAGTCAGGTTCGGGAGCAGATATGAGCAGCAATGCAGGAAAAAAAGAGTGTTTAGGAGACACAGAGGCAGTAAAAGTTAATCCAGCAGGGGATAAAAACTTTTATGAGCAGGGTGGGGGTTAAGGGCTATCCCCGAATTTATTCACGAACCCAAGCACATGGTGGAAAAAAAAAAAAAACAACCTTTAAACACATTTTTCCCAACCATTCTCTCCTCAATCCAGCCAACATTAATTATTAAAGCCCTTGACAAAAAACAAAAAAAAAGTCAGAATGGATTTCACTGTTAAACCCAGAGTAAGTCCACTGTTGGACACCCGCCAAAACCTATTGTGCGATGCATGAATGTTTGGTCATCGGCCAACTGGAGACTTATCCTGGATTACCATCTCAAACATGCCGGCATTTACCTATACGTAACGTCACTCCACACCACCACCGCCGCCACCAGTCCCCACCCCACCCGTCTGTTCATCACAGGCCACAAGGCTCTGAGAGAATGCTTTATTTAGAGTCTGTTTGGGAAAGCGAAAACACAGGGCCCTTGTGCTGTGTGAACTCGGAGTCATGAAGACAGAGAGCCAGCTTAACTGGAAGGGGCATACAGTAAGTGCCGGACCTCCCACCGATCTGAATCAGATTTACTAACTAAACTGGAAAGCACTCAGAGGAGCACAAACCTCCACGTATGCTGCAAACAGTCCTAATTTTATACCTAAATGAAGAATAAATATTTAGACACACTTCATTTTGCACCTAGATCTGGATCTCCATTATAAACTACACATGGTGATAGAAAATTATTGGTTCCAAGCGCAAGATCGTT